TCTAGATGTTATATATAAACGCTTATGCCAATGAGAAAAAGTGTCAGTAAGTAAAGTATCATAAAACAAGATTTACACATAGGTTTGTAAAAATCCCTCAAGTCATTTTAACTGATGTAAATATGTGTTTGTGCAGCGTACAGATATCCACCATCTTGTCCTGTCCCCGTCTCCTTCGTGTTCACTCGGAGCTCATTCTCCCCGTATGTTCCAGGTCTTTGAGCCAGGGCAGCACAAACTCCAACATGCTGGACGTGCAGGGAGGAGGCCACAAGAAGCGCGTGAGGAGGAGCTCGCTGCTCAACGCCAAGAAGCTCTACGAAGACGCTCAGATGGCGCGAAAAGTCAAACAGTATCTGTCCAACCTGAACGTGGAGACGGACGAGGAGAAGCACCAGATCATGTCCCTGCAGTGTGAGCCGTCCTACAGCACACGTGAGTACGAGGAAAAGTACACGTAGTAACTCTAGTAGGTTTTAGTGGTAGTAGTAGTAGTTGTTGTAGTTGTATGTGTAGTTATTGTAGTTGTTGTGTTAGTTGCAGTAGTAGTTGTTGTTGTTGTAGTTGTGTTAGTTGCGGTAGTAGTATTAGTAGATGCTGTAGTAGTAGTTGTAGTAGTAGTAGAAGTTGTGGCAGTAGTTGTATTAGTTGTAGTAGATATAGTAGTAGTAGTAATTGTAGTGTTAGTGTTAGTTGTAGTAGTAGTTGCAGTAGTTGTTGTAGTTGCAGTAGTAGTAGAAGTTGTAGTTTTATTAGTTGTAGTAGTAGTAGTAGTAGTTGTAGTTGTTGTAGTTGCAGTAGTAGTAGAAGTTGTAGTTTTATTAGTAGTAGTAGTAGTAGTAGCAGTAGCAGTAGTAGTAGTTGTTGTTGTTGTAGTTGGGTTAGTTGCAGTAGTAGTTGTAGTAGTAGTAGAAGTTGTGGCAGTAGTTGTATTAGTTGTAGTAGATATAGTAGTAGTAGTAGTAGTAGTAGTAGTAATAATTGTACTGTTAGTGTTAGTTGTAGTAGTAGTTGCAGTAGTAGTTGTAGTTTTATTAGTTTTTGTCGTCGTAGTAGTAGTTGTTGTTGTTGTTGCAGTAGTAGTAGTAGTAGAAGTTATTGTAGTTGTAGTAGCAGTAGTAGTTGTTGTTCTAGTTGTATTTGTAGTTGTGTTAGTTGTAGTAGTAGTTGCAGTAGTAGTAGAAGTTGTAGTTGTATTAGTAATAGTAGTAGTTGTAGTAGTAGTAGTAGCAGTAGCAGTAGTAGTTGTATTTGTAGTTGTGTTAGTTGTTGTAGTAGTAGTAGTACTAGTCGTAGTAGTTGTTGTTGTTGTGTTTGTTGTGTTAGTTGTGTTAGTAGTAGTAGTAGTAGATGATGTTGTAGTTGTAGTAGTAGTAGTAGTAGATGATGTTGTAGTTGTAGTAGTAGTAGTATTAGTAGATGATGTTGTAGTTGTAGTAGTAGTAGTAGTAGTAGATGATGTTGTAGTAGTAGTAGTAGTAGTAGTAGTAGTAGTAGTAGTTGTAGTAGTAGTTGTAGTGTAAGGTGTAGCAGTAGTAGCAGTAGAAGATGTAGTAGTAGTTGTAGTGGTTGTAGTAGTAAAGACAGCAACAGTAGTTAGTTAGTAGTTAGTATTAGTTGAAGTAGCAGTGGAGTAATAGTAGTAGTAGTAGTCAGTAGTAGTCAGTAGTAGTAGTCAGAAGTAGTCCCATCATTTTATTTGCAGTAAAGTGTGCCTGTACTTAACTGGTAGTGGTAGCAGTTAGTCCTTGTACAGCACATGTATTGGTAGTAGTAGGAGCTGGAGCAGTAGTAGTTGTTGTAGTTGTTATAGTTGTTGTGTTAGTTGCAGTAGTAGTTGTTGTTGTTGTTGTAGTTGGGTTAGTTGCAGTAGTAGTTGTAGTAGTAGTAGTTGTAGTAGTAGTAGAAGTTGTGGCAGTAGTTGTATTAGTTGTAGTAGATATAGTAGTAGTAGTAGTAGTAGTAATTGTACTGTTAGTGTTAGTTGTAGTAGTAGTTGCAGTAGTAGTTGTAGTTTTATTAATTTTTGTTGTCGTAGCAGTAGTAGTTGTTGTAGTAGTTGTATTTGTAGTTGTGTTAGTTGTAGTAGTAGTTGTTGTTGTAGTAGTTGCAGTAGTAGTAGAAGTTATAGTTGTATTAGTTGTAGTAGTAGTAGCAGCAGTAGCAGTAGTAGTTGTTGTAGTAGTTGTATTTGTAGTTGTGTTAGTTGTAGTAGTAGTAGTACTAGTAGTAGTTTTTGTTGTTGTTGTGTTAGTTGTGGTAGTAGTAGTAGCAGTAGCAGTAGCAGTAGTAGTTGTTGTAGTAGTTGTATTTGTAGTTGTGTTAGTTGTAGTAGTAGATGTTGTTGTAGTTGTAGTAGTAGTAGTAGTAGTAGCAGTAGCAGTAGCAGTAGCAGTAGTAGTTGTTGTAGTAGTTGTATTTGTAGTTGTGTTAGTTGTAGTAGTAGATGTTGTTGTAGTTGTAGTAGTAGTAGTAGTAGTAGTACTAGTAGTAGTTTTTGTTGTTGTTGTGTTAGTTGTAGTAGTAGTAGTAGTAGTTTTTCTTGTTGTTGTGTTAGTTGTAGTTGTAGTAGTAGTAGTAGTAGTAGATGATGTTGTAGTTGTAGTAGTAAGGTGTAGCAGTAGTAGCACTAGAAGTTGTAGTAGTAGTTGTAGTAGTAAAGACAGCAACAGTAGTTGTAGTATTAGTTGAAGTAGCAGTGGAGTAATAGCAGTAGTCAGAAGTAGTCCAATCATTTTATTTGCAGTAAAGTGTGCCTGTACTTAACTGGTATTGGCAGTAGTAGTAGCTGGAGCAGTAGTAGTAGTTGGAGCAGTAGTAGTAGCTGGAGCAGTCGTAGTAGTAGCTGGAGCAGTAGTAGTAGCTGGAGCAGTAGTAGTAGCTGGAGCAGTCGTAGTAGTTGGAGCAGTAGTAGTAGCTGGAGCAGTAGTAGTAGCTGGAGCAGTAGTAGTCGTAGTAACTGTAGTAGTGTAAAAACATAATGTATATTGAAGCCAGAAAAGTTTATTCAATTAGTTATTTTAAAAAAAACTGAATTCAAGCTTAGATCTCCATGGCGGCTGTGAAACTTCTTGACTGTGTTGTTGTTTTTTTCTTAGTGTCGAAGAACTTGAGTGAGAGACGCTCCACCAAGTCGGACATGTCCCCCGTGTCCCTGCGCTCGGCTCTGCCTTCAGCCAAAACCCAGAACAGAGTGTCCCAGGTCCTCCAGGTCCAGGTCCCCCTCAACCCCCTGAACCAGCTGAACCCCCTGAACCCCCTGCGCAAGAAGAGCACCGCCAAGGACATGGGCACAAGTAAGACTCACTGTGACGACTGGACTGACGAGCTCAACATCAAAATCTAAATCATTCAGCGTTGTTACTATTCTTAGTCATGATCTGGACTTTTTCATCACACAAACCTGCATTACTAAAGAAACTGTGTGTAAGACTTTGACTTTCAGAAACATGACCCAACTCTACTAGTAGTAGTTGTAGTTGTAATAGTAGTAGTAGTTTGTTATTGTAGTAGTAGTAGTAGTAGTTGTTGTTGTAGTGTAGTAGTAGTAGTAGTAGTAGTAGTAGTAGTAGTAATTGTTGTTGTTGTAGTAGTAGTAGTAGTAGTAGTAGTAGTAGTTGTTGTTGTTGTTATTGTAGTAGTAGTAGTTGTTGTAGTAGTAGTTGCTTTTGTAGTAGTAGTAGTAGTTGTTGTTGTTATTGTAGTAGTAGTAGTTGTTGTTATTATTGTAGTAGTAGTAGTTGTAGTAGTAGTAGTTGTTGTAGTAGTAGTTGCTTTTGTAGTAGTAGTAGTTGTGTAGTAGTAGTTGCTTTTGTAGTAGTAGTTGCTTTTGTAGTAGTAGTTGCTTTTGTAGTAGTAGTAGTAGTAGTAGTAGTAGTAGTTGTTGTTGTTGTAGTAGTAGTAGTTGTTGTTGTTATTGTAGTAGTAGTAGTAGTAGTAGTTGTTGTTGTTGTTATTGTAGTAGTAGTAGTAGTAGTAGTTGTTGTAGTAGTAGTTGTTGTAGTAGTAGTTGCTTTTGTAGTAGTAGTTGCTTTTGTAGTAGTAGTTGTTTTGTAGTAGTAGTTGTTGTTGTTGTAGTAGTAGTAGTAGTAGTAGTAGTAGTTGTTGTTGTTGTTATTGTAGTAGTAGTGTAGTTGTAGTAGTTTGTAGTAGTAGTAGTTGTTTTAGTAGTAGTAGTAGTTGTAGTGTTGTTTTTGTAGTAGTAGTAGTAGTAGTAGTTGTTGTGTGTAGTTTGTTGTAGTTAGTAGTAGTAGTAGTAGTAGTAGTAGTTGTTGTAGTAGTTGTAGTAGTAGTTGTTGTAGTAAGTAGTTGCTTTTGTAGTAGTAGTTGCTTAGTAGTAGTAGTAGTAGTAGTAGTAGTTGTTGTTGTTGTTATTGTAGTAGTAGTAGTAGTAGTAGTAGTAGTAGTTGTAGTAGTAGTAGTTGTTGTTGTTATTGTAGTAGTAGTAGTAGTTGTTGTTGTTATTGTAGTAGTAGTAGTTGTTGTAGTAGTAGTTGTTGTTATTGTAGTAGTAGTAGTAGTTAGTAGTAGTAGTAGTAGTAGTAGTTAGTAGTAGTAGTAGTTGTTGTGTATGTGTAGTAGTAGTAGTAGTAGTAGTAGTATAGTAGTAGTAGTTAGTAGTAGTAGTTAGTTGTTAGTAGTAGTTGTAGTTAGTTGTGTTTAGTAGTAGTAGTAGTAGTAGTAGTAGTAGTTAGTTGTTGTTGTTTTGTAGTAGTAGTAGTAGTTGTAGTTGCTTTTGTGTAGTAGTAGTAGTTAGTAGTAGTAGTTGTTAGTTGTTGTTATTTAGTAGTAGTAGTAGTAGTAGTAGTTAGTTGTTTAGTAGTATTGTGTAGTAGTAGTAGTATTGTTGTTGTTGTTATTGTAGTAGTAGTAGTAGTAGTTGTGTTTGTAGTAGTAGTAGTAGTAGTAGTAGTAGAAATAGTAGTTGTTGTTATTGTAGTAGTAGTAGTAGTAGTAGTAGTAGTTGTTGTTATTGTAGTAGTAGTAGTAGTAAGTATTGT